TTGCTTGCAACAGCTTCAAGGACGATGGTCAGCTTTTCTCCTTCCCTTTGTACTGCCCTGCCATCCGATGGGCAGTTTTCCAAGCCCAATGCATCCCATCAATACTCCCGATACAACCTGGAAAGCCTCGGGCTTCGTTTTCACTCAGGATTGCCGTCAATTCGTCGCGGTTCGGTGGGCGTAGGTATTCCGGGCCGTACAGCTCAATGATGTTCCGGATAAAATACTTGAGGGTCCGGAGGGCTGTGGTTTCACCAATGCGAATGTACTCGTCCAGGGAATCGGCGCTGGTTCCATAGGCCAATTGGCGGATTGCTGCTGTTAGCTTTTGATGGGTTGATAGGCCAATCTGACCACAGCAGTCCTGGAAGAAACAGGCCAACAGTCAGTAGACAGGTGCGATCGAGAGCGACTTCAATTACTCACTGCTTTGAGAATCCAAAAACAATCGTGCTGCTGAAGATCACGGCATAAGCGATTGAACAACGCCTTGCTCATCCGGAAGCGGCGCTCAAACATCCGGTTGTTATAAATTGGGTGTTCGACAAAGTAGTCTTTCATCAGCCGTTCATTGCCTGCGATTCGATCCCGTAGGATGACTTCCTTCTCGGTGGTGCGAATGGTTCTGGGTACGGGTACGCCTTGAGATAGTTCTTGCATGAGGCGACGAAACCAGTGTTCTTCCTCGATGTCCCAGAGGTAGTCCATGTGTGGATCCATAGTGAGTACCCAGCAAGACAGCCAATCCAAAGATAATCAAGATAGGGGGGATTTCATCCGTTTGTTTATCATCAACTAGGAGTTAAATTGAAGATGAAATCTGACTGAACATATTTTGAGCTTCAGATTGACCGCCAGATTGAATTTTGATAGGATTTGGGATCTTGGCAAGGCCAGTAGAGACATAATCATGTTTTTTTCCGGATAGCGATCGGAACAAACTTAATCAGTCCCACCTTCTAAGAGGCGGGGCAGGGCCCCTTGCACGAAGCGCAAGCCTCCGAAGGAGGGACTTGGGAATTATCAGCCAATTTTGGCTTGGATCCTGAACTGTACTTTGCCAGTTTTGGCAGGAGCCAAACTTCAACACCACCTTACATCAGCATCCTGTGGGCCAAATGGCCGGCCCTTTGGCCAGATTGAAGCTTGGCATCTGGACTTAAAGATGACATGGCCCTTATGTTGACTGGATTTTTTTTCAGTCGTCTGCAGGGGATGTACCTTCAGGGTCTCCTCCATTTTGGAAATTGCAATACATCTGTACAATTGGGCCAAATGCATGGGTCCCTCATTAAGTGCATGAAAAGATCGGTTGTCAATCCCAAGTGCATATACACCAACATTCAAGACATGTAACCTTCCAAACCATCTTGTATGGGAATTGCATATCACACAACATAACCAAGCACCAAAAGAGAGATCACAAACGGTATCACTCACCGACACCTTTTATAATCTCCCCTCCAAACCTAAGTAGATTTACCAGAGTCAACTGTCACTGACTGAAGCATTTTACCGGATCCCATTGATCCTCCAATTATACTCAAAATGTCAGATCAAGAAAAGATACTCGATGTTTGCGCGCACTTGACAAGGATCAAGATGACACCAAAGGAATTCATCACGGGTCTGCTCAAGAAAGACCACATAGAACTCAACTACCGCCGACGCACCTGGGGAACAACTTACGGTGCCAGTTCAACTATTGAGCTAGTTTCTGAAATTGCAAAAATATTCCACAAGAAAGATGCAGCTCGGCATTTTTGGGCCAACTTTATTCAGGCTGAGGTCAAACTCGTTCACTATCAGGATGTTAGTTAAGAATGTACCACTGATCCATATTTGTGTTGATTGCAGGTTGTCTTGTTGTGTCGTCAAGAAATGGAAAGTCATAGCTCTGGCTCATTCATGAGCTGCCAATTGGTCAGACGTGATTTTTTTGGGCTGGCTGCCAAGGAGGCTCGTAATCATAAACTTACAACTGTTGAACGACCAATGCTCTACAACGTAATCCACGGAATCTTATCTCATTCGGACAAAGAAGAGGGCAATGCTGTTCATGTGGACAATCCACATGATGACTCCACTTGTCTTCAAGAGAATACATTGACACACGATACCAACAACTCAAGAGGTCATATGGGCAACACCCCAACTGATATTGGTGAGACCGTAGTCGAGGAGCTTGTCGCAGATGCAGAAGCCGAGGTCCATCTGAAATCCACCTCAGGCTCGTTAGAGGAAGTGATGTCAGAGTTCGGTGGGTTTAGTTACTCATCCAAAGAGGATGGGCCAGATGGAAGACAAAAGAAAATCAAACATGTAAGTTTGCTTTTGTTCATGTATTGGTCCACCATGACTTGAGTGTAACTGATTGTCATTGTGCCATAGATTGCAACGGTGATCTGTTCAATGCTCAGCTTTGCATGTAATTGTCGTCACAATGGATTACAGCTTGAGAATTCGATCCGATTCTATGCTTGTGGGGTTTCGGAGACGGTCAATGAATACCTTCACTACTTGGGTTTAACATCTCATAGAAAAACGGCCGTTCATGCCCTACGATCCTTGGCCTCAGAAGCAGCGGACACTATAGCTTCTTTGATGGCCCTGTCAAATTGTTTGGCTCCTATCATGTGTATTGACAACTTGGACATGGAAGAGCGTATTCAACTCGCATCAGTAGGAAAGCAGAATCGCATGTTCCATGGTACTTGGGGATACATACATATTCCCAGTGACAACCTGATGAAAACACTCGACCCCAATCAGCTCACCTTACAATCGTACCACAACGCCTTAAAAGATGTGGATTCTCTGATCATTGACCCAGCTGATTTCCTTCCTGACAATGAAGCCCAGGATCACTATGAAAAAGTGTTCAAAAGTCAGATTGCCCGGGTAATGTACAAGTATGTGGCCCGACCGGCTGACTCAAAGCGGAAACTTCCCATGGACCCTCCGGATATAGAGCTGATAAGTCATGAGCAGCCCAAAATCCACATGATGAAGCTCATGAATGAGTCTGACAATTCAGCTGAAGGCATTGGACAGGTGATGGAGGCACTCCGCAGACAAAGCCGACTTGAACCTGGTGAATTCTTTGGCCGATTCCAGCTTATTGACGGTGACCTTGGGACTGCTCAGATCTTCAATGCTATCCGATCCCTCCGATTCCCAAGCAAACACTGCAATCACAGTCTCAACAATGTCTCATTCACTCTTGGTGCGGCCCATACATTGTGGAACATTGCCCACACGATCCTTACACATCACTTTGGGAACTCTAAGGCAATGGATGACCTGGGGGTGTGGCGATATTTACAAGCACTCGGGATCCCCCCAGAAAAAGTCATCCAGGAAAAGGATTTCACTAAGATGCTTCAGTATATGGAACAAGTCCACGAAGCGACCCTATGGTACTGTCTAAGGTATGTCATTTAGCCTGATACTGTATGGTCAATGTCACCACTAACCACACCGCCTTTTAGACATGTGATGGGTGAACATGACTCCACCATCACAGAGGATTTGCCGGTGATTCCGACATCCAATTGGAATGCAATTGTGAACCAATGTTACAATCAATTCTGCTCGCATGAGGCCCGGCGTGCAGCTCAATCAAGTCCCAAGCTATAAAATCTCCTCATCCGACTGCAAGACTTCTCCACCGTGATTGAGGCCAACAGATCAATGAAACGTGGTGATATTGGCCGACTAATCAATGTATGGAAGATGTGGTCAATCATGACCCAATCACTTCCAGGCCTCACTCATTACTCGGCCTACCTCCCCAGGCTCATTCTACTGATAACCAAGATCCTCCCTCCTTCATTGTCTAAGTTGATTCGGCACAGCATTCTGGTCTTGCCAAGTGGTAGACCAAATCACTTTGTGGCCAAAGACTTCCTTTTGGAAACACACAATTATTGGCTCAAATATTTCTATGTTCGCAGTGGGATCGGAACACAAATTGAAAGGCTACAAGAACTGTTCTTGTCCAACATTCCAATTGTCAGTCCCAAAATTTTGACTCATGAATCTTGCTATGATCTAATCATTCTCATTTTCAATTCTGCAGCTCCGAACAATGTTTGATTCATTACGTTTAGATAGTGGGGCCAAGCATGTCCAACAAAGTCATAAACCATTGCTCTTGTTACAAGCACTCCAGAGGTTCCACCAGATGGCCGAAACAAATCAGATTCTTGATGGAAGGGCTCGGCCGGGGGCACTACAACCCTTAGGTATTCAGAATACATATGTCGAGGGGATTAGAATCCTACGAGAGGAGATCACTAGCAAGCCATCTGAGCTTGGCTGGTTCACCATGCACCTGCCATTTGACGAGCAGGTTCCAACTCCACCCAGCGACTCTGAAGAAAATTCCAATTCGGAAGGTGATCAGACTGGAATCAACCCTAGCTCACCAAGTGTTGCCCCAATGGATGAAGAAGAAACTTACGAATCCAACCCCCCACCAAACTAGATCACCGACCGTGATGAATACTTTTGACTCCCCGCATCTCAGCATCTTCGCCTGCCAGTCGTACAAGCATAGCCATATGTGCAGCCTGTTTGGCCTTCCAAGAGTCCTCGACCTTCTTCCGCTTCATCCTCAACTCCATCTCTATTTGCCTGCGCTCCTCTTCCTGAAGTTTTGCTAGTCTTTCTGCCTCAATCTTCACAGCATGCTTGTGGGCCTGTTTGTCTTCCTCCTCCTGCGCCTTTGCCAAAGCTGCCTCCTTCTCGCTCTTCTCTCGTTCCATTTCTAATCTTGTATCCTCAGCCAGTGGTCCTTCTCGGAAAGCAATTACAGTTTCCAACAATCCTTCAAGCTGACCGGGTATTGTCTGGCCACCTATGAGCTTGCGCAATTGTGCTAATGTCGTGCACCCATCCAGGTTACCTATTATTGAGTCTATGTGATGTTTTTGAAACAGATCATCTGGGCCGAACAATGTTTGTTTGGTGTAAGTTTGAGCAAATAGTTGATTAAACGACTCTTGCAACTGAACCGATAAGACTTCACATTGCATCGGTGTGAGCTTGATACGTTTTCCACTTGCAGTTACATCGTCTACATCTTGATCCACTTGTTTCCTTTTCCTCCTGCTTGTCTTTGGTACACCTGGCCAGTCCTGAGCCATTAGATCTTCGAAGTTGTCACTAGTTATCTCTCTTATGTTGTGAATTAAACCAGCAGCCATGTTAGGCTTGCAATTTGAACAGCAGCAGTCACAAAAACCCTCTTCTTGCTCGCGCTGCTTTTCTCGTAAATAGGATGGGTCGTCGGCAGACAGAGGTATGTAGCCAAGGCTGAGGGATCCATATATAAGGGTCAGTTAACCAGGTAGACATACTGGATACAATCTATTAAGTCATAAAACTCACACATTATCGATTGCAAAAGCTATCCTCAGACACACGGGTGTGATAGCCAAGGCATCCATCTGATCATTTTTGTCTATCTTCTTTGACATATCAAAAGCCGCCACTTTGTTCTTCCCCCCCTTGCAAGTTTTTTCCACAAACATGATAGCCAACCCAGGTCGCCCATCCCGGCCAGCTCGACCAATCATCTAACATATGGCTGATGGGTCACCCCGCCCCATCTGGATCACTTGTCGAACCCGGGACCAGTTTTGACCCATACCCAAAGCCATTGTACAGGAAATCATCAGCAATTTATCCGCGGCAAAATCTTCAACTACCTTCAATTTGTCCTTCTCACCCGTGCATGAGTGGAATCGACGAACCACCAACGAATTAGGCCTCATCGAAACGCCTGGTGTCCCACAAGCCTCATCCACAACCTTCATTACCTGTAACGTTCTGTTCCTTGATGAGCTATATATCAAAGTTGGAACGATCTGCGCATCCAAGACTTCAGATTGTGGTGCAAACAAAGGTGCCAACCCTACGCAAGATGACATTGACGAAGTGATCGGAACTCGTATGATGCGGATCTCTGGCCGAGTGAGTTCCCCCCTCACAACACAAACATTATGATCTTCTAATTTCAAGCTCTTCTTGATTGATTCAATAGCAATCGGCCTGCAAGTTGCCGACATAAGTAATATTGGTTTGTTATTCCGAGTGAGCAACCAACCACCCATTTTCCCATAACAGGGCCTGAAGATTGCGATGTCTTCAATTCGGCCCAGAGCAACCGCCTTGTCCTTTCCGCTAGAAGATTCGACCAGTCCCCACTGATATATGATATGCGCCTCGTCAATCACAACTAATGCAAGGCGATTCTGAAAGTTTGGACAGAAGTACACTTGATCCCACAGGCGAGAGTTCAAGAAAATTTCTGTGCTGAGATAGACGAAATTGTAAGTCCCATTCACCACTTTATTAGCCTCCTCCACATTGAAAGTCAATTTGGTGAGGTTGATCGCTGAGAACCCCGCTCTTTTCTTTTCCAGCACCTGGTTGTCCCCTAATGTGTCGAGGGGGTTTAAAACAAGAATAACTCCATTCGCTGTCTTGGGTAAGATTGTGTGGTAAATCTCCGGTATCCTAGATTTTCCAAAACCGGTTCCGGCTAGTAAGAAAGTGTTTTTCCCACACGCCAAGTGGAAGACCGTTTGAATCTGTAACAGTTTGGCATGTTGGCCGTAACGATCGAAAGCTGATTTACCAATGGCGGCCTTCATTGCATCGTCTCCTTTACTTTTGATCTTCTTCAGCAGCTCAATCCGAATACCGGCACCTTGGGGGTCCACAATAGCCGGGGCAGCGAGTTGGCGAAGCATGTTGAATCAGGATCCTGGTGGAGCAAACGGTTGGTGGGTGATTCTCACAGGGACGTGACCGTTCAATCAGTCCAATCGTGTTTCAAATAATCGGGCCAGCCAGCGTCTGACTGCCTGTTATTTGGTTATTTTGTTATACAAGATGGCTGTTGTATTTTTGCAATGGAGATCATGTGTACAGTCTTATCTTCTAATATTTCATGGGTTCCTCGATGTACAGGACGGATACAGTCTCGCGCAGGAGCATAATGGCATAGGCATCCCATACTTAGCTGATTGAGGAAACGGCCGAAGAGCTTTTTAGAGACGGCGGCTAGTCCTCATTGTGTGGGACTGAAGGATGAGAGAGGCATCAATGGAAGCCCAAGAAGCCAGCCTTCATGGTCCATCACTCCGCTGAAAAGCAATTGTTCATTTTTCTTGGGGAATTGGACTTCAATTGAAATTGCAGTTTTATGGGACGCGAGTCCTGTCCGGATCCATACCAGAATTCAATCTTTGGGGGTATGCCTCTCTGTGAGACAGCACCAATCGAATGTAAGCGCTTGCTAACCTCCTTATGGAGATGATCCCTGAGTATGCAGATTGCATCCCAAAGAAGCGGGAGACAATCTCTGATCTCTCAGGCTCAACACCCCAATCACAAAGCAGAGGGCTGAAGCTTGCCACAAATTCAGCACAATCGAGCTGATGAGTAAGAGTTTGCTGACCGGTCAGTTTGCTCCGTCGTCCCAACCCGGACAGCTCTTACTTGGAGCCTGGAGGGATTTGGAGAAGTTGAATCTTCTTCCTTGAGGGCTTCCGGTATCGGCAAGCCAGTGCATGGGTTGTTCTGAGCCTCCGTTGCAAGCCGCGATTCCTGCAAAACAACTCGCCAATCAACGGGCTTGCAGTATGGTCTCAAAATTTGCCCGTTCCTGGGGGTGAAGGTTGGCGAAATGCCCGAACAAAAGCTCTCTGCATGGTCTGCCAGAAGGCCAGGCCTTCCTTGTCTTGCAGATTTATTGGCACAGTGTCATCAGCCTCATCTTCCGCTACATAGGTTTCATAACTCGGTGTAAACTTATTTCAGCTTGCATCAAGTGAATACATGCATTTTCTCTTGACGTTGTGGTAAGCCAATCCTGAACCTCAAGGCACAGCAAGACTACATATCACACAAGAATCACAGACCCAAGACCCCTCAAGAGTTTCCCCAGGCCCTCAAACAAAGGCAGCAAACCAATAACCCTCACAAGTACCCCCACATGGATAATAACATATCCCACACCTCTGAAACTCCTCAGATGAAACCCAAGACCAAATTCCCAGTTCATTCTTGATAAGAATTAGCTCACACACTAATTACACACTAGTACCCCTTCTCAATATAACCTCAAACCCCTCTAAAATATATTCCTTATCTCTTATCTCCTTCCACCTTATGCCAAGAATTCTCACACAACAGTTATGTTTGATACTATTCCTCTTTTGGTACTTTCTTCCCATTTCCTGTTCAATCCTTATCTGGGTGAAATAATTACCCCCACCTCTTCCCCTTGATAAGATTATCCAAGCCTCTCTCTGTTTCAGAATGAATTCATTACCTTATCTTAGCTTGGCCCTTTCTTTGGTTTCAGACTAGTCTTATCTTATCTTAGTGCCACACTAAATTAGGCCACATTGTTCATAGTTCAATTTTCTTCCTTGTTCATTCTTTGTTCCATTTTGTTCCATCCACCTTCCAACCACAAATTGGCCACTCCCCAGAATCTTGTATATAAGGAGCTTTGTGTTTCTCTTCATTTGTTCCCCATCAGAGCCTGCCCCAGAAATTCAGATAACTGATCACCCATTATTAGCCAGGTATTTGCCCATCAACATTTGGGATACCTTGATTTGTGAACAAGTATATTTAGACTAGTAAACATAAGACATATTAGACATACCATCCTCAAGAAATCTCCACAGCCACACCTTTTTCCTTAAGAGTCCATACTCTTATATTTTCTTGTTATCAGAGAGGCAGCCCAATAAAGCACTCATCCCTCTCAAGCTCTATTCCTCCCAAGAGTAGTTCCACAAGTGGTGTCCCAACAGTGGCCTAACAGATCTTTGGTTTTCAGTCACTACCACTTACAGTTTCTATGCTAAATATACAGTCACAGATTAGCTAGTTACTACCAACCCTATTTTAATTTAGAATTTACATACCTTATTATGCCCTGCAGAAATCTTAATTGGTAAATCTGCATTAACAAAATATCATTAGACCATCAGCAAAATTATCATAACAGTAGAAACCTTAACAACTCCTTCACACCTATCAAGAAGAAAATCAACCCCCAGAACCCCCATCAGAACAAACATGGCCAACCACCCTGGAGGAAGAAGGAAGATAGTCAAAATCAAACCCTTGGACAAGAACCTTTGTTTTGATGGCTCCAACATGCCCATAGAAGAATTCATCAGCAAATATGAAGCAGCTGCAGAAACTGTTGGAGCAAGCTCTCAAGATTTGGCCAACCAGATATTGCCCTTTATCAGAGGACCAGACCTGCAAGATGAAGTGGAGGAGATGTATGGATATGAAAACAGCAATTGGAAAAACTTGAAGGAAGAATTAATGGGAAGATTTTCAATAAAACTTACCCTGGAAGAATGTGCTAGAGAGGAATTGGTAGATTTGGTCAGCTATGTTGCAAACATGGGTGGCATCAGCACTCCAGAACCATTTGGACAATTCATATTACAATTTGAACACATTGCTCACCACCTAATCATGAATGGATACAATTCCCACATGGATGAATTTTCAAACTTATTTTGGCAATCCCTCAGCCCAAATTTGGAAAAAGCCATATCTGATCCACTTATCTGGGATGGTCACTTGGTTTTGGATGAAAATTGTCACATTGCAGAACTACCATCCTATAATATCATTTTGGAGTATATTGGTATGGAGTTTGAGAAAATGGATGTTCTTCAAGAAATACCTGATCAACCTGAACAAAAAATTGACCAAACCCATCAGAATTACTATAAAGTAAACCACATGGAAGAATATAGCTCGGAAATCCAGTCACCTCTTACAGAAAATTTTCCCCCAGTACCTTCTTCAACTTTGGGTTCCTGCCCCCTGATCCTGGAAAATGACCCATCCCTGGAACAATTGGAAAAAGAAGAAACCAAAGACTTTGGATCAGAAATAGATATCTTACCAGCAAAAATTCCTCCTGGAACATTCTCACCATGTGCCTTGATAGAAGAAAATTGCTCCCCAGTAATATCAGTAACCTTGGAATTTTCCCCCCTGATATCTCAAAATTGTGAAGAATTGGAACCCTTGGACAATGAGGAAAAAGAAAATCCTGGACCAGAAATTGCCACCTGTGAAGAAATTAGACCTACAGAAGAGACTCTACCAGTAGGAGAAATCCCAGGAAGTCTTGGAAATCTATTACCTGCAAACCTTGAGGAAAAACTTGGAGAAAAGGTAACTGAAGAAATTTTTACCAATGTCTTGACCCCAGTGGATGTACCATCCTCAAGCCCAATAGTATCACATCAGTTGCCTACCAAGAGTTCATCAGCTCTTATAACTGAAAATACTGGAGTTGCAGATAGACCCAGCTCAGAAGTTGCACAATTTGGGTCACCAGAAATTTGCAACAAGAAGACTTCACCTTCCTTGAAAAGACATAAGATAGAATTAATCCTTGCAGGTGGAACAGAATTAAAATCTCACATGGTACCAGAATTGAATTTTATTGGACAACAGAATGAAATCCCCTTTCTTCCCACACCAGAATCAAGTACAAGAATATTGGATGTCATGTTCCAGAAGGACCCTGGAAGAATAATGGAACAAAATGTTACATTAGCCTCTGTCACAAACCACAAACAAGGATTTTATCCTCCAACTCACCAAATAACTCCCCATCATCTAAATCTGGACCTCTTGGAACCCCCTGATACCAGCCAATCATGGATTGAACCCCTTCTGATTATTGAAGAAACTGCAATCCAAAACTGTATCAGCATCAAAGGTTCTATGAATTTCATGAAGAAGGGAGTAATAACCAACTCACCATTTACCTTGGAAAATAATATGGATCAAGTTTTCATTGGGTTTGTTCCATCTTTGATCATCCCATCCCTATCTAAGGTCAGAAATCAAATGAGGAAGAAAAATGTTAGATATATCAACAGCAAGCCTTTTTCTAAGGAAGTGCAAGGAACTATACCTGTGGCAAGTCCTCAATTATTGATTCGGGGCCAGAACATCTCAAGGAATTTGAAATCAATGGTGGATTGTGATCGCTCCAAGATTCAGACAGGAAAGAAAGAAAAGGATCAGTCAATTCTACTGATTAATAGATTCAAATGTTTCATTCAATCTGAAAATGTTGCAAGAGGTCTAGAAGGAGTTGTAGTGGCATTTTGCTTGAGCGATGGTGATAGCAAAATAGAAATTGACTTGTTTTCATCATGTACCGATAGCTTCAAATTGTTTTCCCCAGCTTCAAGTGTTGGAAGACCAAGAACTACTGGGATATCTAATTGCCTGGACCAGGAGGCAAGGAAACCGGTAGCTAGGAAGCTTTCAGTTCGCTTGCAGAGTGAGAAGAGAAGAGCTACAAACAAACTGCCAGTTTCGCCATCGGACTGTTACCAAGGACAGGTTTGGAGGTGGAACAAAGCAAGACAAATAATCAAGGGCATCAAGAGATTAATTTCGCGAAAAATATCTGGGTACTTGCCATCAACTCACATATGCAGTTACTCTCATATCTTCGAGGTGTTTCGACTTGAAGTGAATGATTTTTATTCACTGAGGGTCCATTGTGTAGTCTTCTCTGGCGACTGGGGCAAGAAGGAGGACAATTCCACTGTTTATCTCTGGCAATGGAGTTTTGAATCATTTGAACGAGGCAAGCGATCGATATTGCTGATATTGGGAAAGCGATCAATCCCATCAGTATACAGGTTGAGGGAGATCGAGTTGAGAATTCAGACAAGCAAGAAATCGATCACAACAGTATTCTGCAGCCAGAAAGTAATCATAGATGGTTCAAATTTACCGACCAGCGAAGTTGAAGTGTTGTGCCGAGCTCAGAGGAATAGAAGTAGAACAAGAGGGATTGGAGTTTTAGAGCGATTTGAAAGAAAAAAGGTACGTAGCAAATCGTTTGACCCTGGTATTGGGCAGACTCTAGGCTTCATCAATAGGAAAACTTCAAGCAATTTGATGACTGGCGAGAATGACTGCAGTAAGCGGCCTTTGAGGAGGAGATATTATAACCTGACAATGCAACAAGACTTACACAATGGAAAGAAAATCAAAGCCTCTGACACTCCCATCGGCAAGCAGTTGTCAATTACTGAAGGCCAACCAAGCAGGTCTGCAACTTGTTTACACGCTATCGAAGGAGGAGGCCTCCACACTATTGGTCACCTACCACTACTCTGCTATGCCCAAGGATGTCAGGAGTCTCAAATCTGGACAAGAACAACTGAAACCGCTACATGCTTTAGGCTTACCTGAGCCAACTTGTCTCACCATCTCACCACCCATTGCTACCCCATTATGTGTTGGCCATAGACACAAGGAATCTCAACTAGATGATAGAAAAGCTGGTGTTTCAACCTGGATTCAATTTCAATTCTCTTGCAGGTAGCACCTAGTGGCACTAGTAGTAGTACAGTACACACATCCCCTGAATATCAAAACAAAACACAAGCAAAAGGAATGAAAGCCTCTAGAATGAAACAAGAAAAAAGGTAATGTAGCATGCTATATTAGTCAAAAAAAAAAAAAAAAAAAAAAAAAAAGAGAGAGAGGAGGAAGGAAAGATAAATCCTGAAGAAAAATCTGTTTCAATTGTGTTGAATCCTGAATCACCCCTTGAAACTTCAAAATTTGATGGACACCCTTTTCTATTTGTCCAAGAAATTTTCTCCCTCTCCAAAAATAAAAAAAAAGATATTCCTCACCTCCCTATACTAGATAATCCAAGACCCTCTCCATCTCTAATTTGGGGGTGGTTGAACCCCAGATTTCTACACATCAAATCTAGAGGTTGTGGGTTGGGACCCCACAATGCGTCTTGCCTGGGAAACAAGACGCAGAGAGTCGAAGTCATCGGATTTCCTTAATGTTCAGATGCGACTTAAAGAGGTGGATTTTCTGTCGCCTTTCCTTTTTTCTTTCCTTTTCTTTTCGCTTCAAGTTTTTTCTTCTCTTATCAATCTCATGGTCCGTTAAAACAATATAATCATCAGAAGGCAAAAAGTTAAAATTACTGGTTTATTTCATGTATTTTCTATTTCAGGCATTAAAACATCATCGCATGTATTCGTAGTATAGCTTTTCACAGTAGTGCGCAATGTCAATATCAATTAGCACTTAAAAAAAAAAAAAAAAAAAAAAAAAAAAAAAAATACCCACGTGGACGTTGACTAGCCGGATCGACTGGGATCATCGACTTGTATATGTAGGTCCTCTAAACCGACCCAATAGCTATAGGATACTTCAATCTCGCGACGTCCAAAACAAGGACCCGATCCTCTTCGGTTGAGTAGCCAGCAACTGGACTACATAAAGTGCCCGGTCCCGGTCTGACCTAAGCTCGCACGGCAGAATGATACGACTAGGAAAGCTACGGAGGCCCTGGACCGACACCAATCGCACCAGGGCTTTTTGACCTTACAGGCAGTTTTTGCCTTTGTGTTTCGACTTCTGTAATCGAAGATGCCAGTTGGACTTCCCAACCTGGCATCTTTGATTCTTCTGTATGTACAACCAACCTCACCCCCGAACAGACGAACAGAATCGACCGAAATTGCACTACCCAGCGGGCTTCCGTGATCTTGGCCGGGCCGATTGGCCCGAGTTTGGTTCCAAGCACTCAACCTCCGTTCCAATGATGCCTTCCACGTGACAACCGTGGTGACCACTGCCAACCATCGGATGATCGGTCACATTCTCATCCCGCACTGCGCAGTTGCCATCGTTCGACTGGCTTGTCAGATGAGGGTACTCTCCTGTGGATCGGACTCGTTCTCCCCAACGATCCTCAACCGGCTTATCCATGGAAACCGGACCCTCGAGATGTTCAGTCTGATCCCAGCCAGCAGCCAAACCCGAGGCGGACTCAAGAAAGTTGACCGATGTAAATCTCGATTCAGCACCACTGAAATAAAAAGAGGACTAACTGATATAAATAGCAGTGAGCACCCTGACTCGATCAGGTCGAGGATCTCAACATCCCTCATCACTGGCCTCGGACGGAAAATAGACAGCGCCCACTCAAGCATTGGTCGGTGAGTCAATGGCTTAATAAGTCATCATAAAACACAACATCTGATGATTTACGAAGGAATTTTGAATTATCCAGATTCCAGATGAATTTACACAACCAGAGGATGACGAACTGGTGCCAATCCTACTCAGTGCCTTGTTCCCATACAGGATCCCAAGGGAGATGATCGAGGACAATCGGGAGATTCAGGCATCTACGGGCGCTGAACGTTCATCCCTCACTACCATGGTACCAGGGTGTGGCGCCGATCCAATGTCAGTTAGCCGACAAGGAGCCCGAGCTGGGGTGTCGATGCAAGAGGTCAGTCCTCTGGGCTTTGAAACCAGCAAAATCCTCGCACAGAAACCAATCTTACTCTCCCCAACGATCTGCTACCCGGCTGCCGAGAACGCTCTCGCTAACCTGGTGGCTGATATGCTACACCAGCTCATCCCCAATATCGACTCTTACATCGACACTGCTACCTATCTCCCTCTCAAGGTAATCTCTGGTTGCATCGTGGGTACCTTCGCTTGCAGGGAACATCAAGGTGGGCAGGCCTTTACTCTTCCACATCGTCCAAAGGGGTTCATAATCCATTCTCCTCTATAAGGTAAGCTGAACCCGTCATCATCCGCATCACCCACACCCCTGCTGTCACCATCCCCTCATGAACAATTCAACTTGAGCTCACCAAGAATACTGACTTGAAGGCCTAGGACCTCTCCTTGCCACTCAAATTGACAGGCCCCTCTGCGGTAATCTTTCCAAGCCGCCCCACGCAATGATAATCTAGAAGTTGATCATCTTAAGGTTTGTGGGGAGTATCCCACAGATCTTGGTGGTTGTACTGAAGGATAAACAGAGTGATGGGGTCGCCAAAAGGAATGCACGCTTGAAGAGGGTGCTCTTGTGTTATTTTGTTTTCCCTCTATTTTTGATGCAGAGTGAATGGTTCAAGATGGGGTCAAACTGTGGTGGCCATTGAGAAAAAAAAATATACAATGAGGAAGTGAAAGCTATGTACAATTTATCGGAACAAGAAGATGCTGTCAACTCTGATGATGTAAAAGACAGAGGTGAAAAATCAGGCAAATAAGTGTGAACAAGAAAAAAAAATGCTATGACACAAGGAACTATTTACAATTATTCCAAACAAGTTTATCGCCAAATAACCTCTGGCAAATCACCATCCTCAGAGCTACCAATGTCTGAACCGTCGAAGACACCCCGGTTTTTTGAAGCAAGTATCCTATCAAAGGCTAATGGTTGACGAGGGGTTGGCCGCGTCCATTTTAAGTCCACTGCCTTGTTTTCATTTCCCAGGTGGAGAATATTGCAGACTGTGGGACAAATATGCTCTTGTAAAAAAGCAGCAATACCATCACCAGCGCTATTCCCCTCCGCCCAAGAACTACAAAGTAGTTAGTTAAAAAAATAATGAATGAAAAGATTGGACATTGATTAATTAACTCACTCAGCATTCAAATCAACCATTTGTGGATCAGTTAGAATGGCCCCAAATCCCTGAAGATCACAGACTAATCGCTGTCCTTTTGATTGATTGTAAGACCAATGGGTCAAAGCATTCATCAGTGAAAGATAATCCACGTCCATTCCCTTTTGGTTTGCTGAGACATTGAAGTTGAGATTGCTGGAATATTTCACAAAGCTTCCAACAAGGTAACTCTCAAAGAAGTAAACATTTGTTGGATTGTCAACTTTTCCAACAACTACAACGCAATGCCTAACAAGCTGCAGTATAAAAGATCGCTTTAGAATGTAATTCATCAAACACGTATTGTAATTAAAGAAAGGAAACGCAACTGACCTCAATTTGATTCCCTTTGACCTTGAGGACACCATCGAGTTTGTTACTAATGAAGTCTTTGAATTCAGCTAGGATAAGGCCAAAACCACGGTAGGTTATGGCATCACTTGCATGATTGATTACATTGGGGGTGCTGTCGGAGTATCGTAGCTTGGCAACCCATTTATTGATGACCTCTCGGCCATTTTCAATGGAGCGCACTTGAGCCGGGTAAGAGCGACGACTGCTGCCCTCCCCTAAAACCTTTCCACTATCCACTTTGATGTCAAATGGAAAGGTGACTGCATGTATGTAATCGTTGATGGTGAATGATTGGCGTGATGCTTCTGGAGGGGGTTGTTCGTGAATGGTATAAAAATGTAGGCGTAAGGCTGAAATCCATCCATCGGTCTTCATGGTGATTGACTGACTACTGATGGGGTGGCTGAGGGTGTCAACTTGAGAAGATAGACTAGCTGATCCTCGGACTGGTTTGGTCGCAATCTTTCCTCCAAGAGCCCAGGCAGCCGACTTAGAAGCCTTTGATTGATCTCCTTGGTATTTCCTCTTCTGGTTTGTACGAGACTGTGTGGGGATATCGGTTTCAGGAAAGTTGTCCATGGGATGCTGGTAGATCAAGTGGATCACTGATGCGCTCTTGATGGTCTTTCCGGCTCGGGCAAGTTCCAAAAGAATGTTGTGTTCTTCAATCTTCGAATTATTTGTTCCTAAGCACGTGTACTGTTCGGGGTCTGGTGGATACGTAATTTCGGTTTTAGCCAGAATTTCATCGGAAAAGAGACCCCAGAGTTGATGGCGAAAGTCTTCATAGAAATTGGGCTTCTTCGTGTCCACTTCGAGGACCTTGGGAATTATTCCAGTCTTTTTTTGTAAGACATCATCAATATAGACTGTTACCCCAGCTTTCACAAACCTTTTTTCTGGTGATGACTTGGGGTCTGGGGTTCGAGAGGTACTTGCACGCCTCAGTTTTGGGGTGGAAGTCTCTTGTTTTTTTGCAGCGCGGGCCTCTTTGGCCAAACCTTGGTAAAAAACGTGCGTGCCAGTATCACGAGTATTAACAGAATGCCGGGAAATGGGTGAGTAGGATGGGCCAGCAGTGTGGAGGTTGCGTTGGTGGATTTGTGTGTGGGATGTAGAGGGACCGGTGGGGTGTGTGGAAGGACCTTGAATCCGAGACATGATGCAATCAAGGCAATGGTTTTCGAAATGTCTACTTTTGGACCATCGGTTGCAGCCGGCACATTTGACCATGTCAGACATCCTAGCAGTGAAGTTCAAAACGTTCAGGTGAAAAAAAGTAATAAAATATATAACACTATGCAATACTTGAATGTGTGCGAGAAGTCATTGGCAAAAGGACTGAGAAGGTATTGATCTCGCATATTTATTGACAATCAATGGAAGGAATTCTGATCGAAAAATGGATTACCAAGGTACTCAGATGGCCCATGTGTTGGTTACGTCTGAGCAAGTCAAAAGTAACTGGTTCAGATGGTTGCATCTGACTGGCATGGGCAACAGTAGAGAAGAGATGACACCGGCAACAACAGGCAGAAAAAAGAACCCAACATGAATTACTGAATGGCTCAGATTGCCAATGTCATGGGTACATCTGACCCAGTCACAAGCAGAACATGGGTTTTTGAACACGGCATGGGTAAGGACAACAGGAGAGAGGATGTGACATCAACAAATCCCTGAGCGAGTCACAAGGAGAAGATGATTTTGTGAGCATGGCAGGGACAACAGGAGAGATGATATGACATCGCCCAAGAAAAAAATGAAAAAAGAGCATGAGTATCGAGATATCCAGTTGATGGGACCAAAAGGGATGCTGGAGCTTTGAAAAAGGTTTTGATAGTGGCTGAAGGTGCCTGGAATGATGATTCCAGTCAAGGGAAGATATTGGCAACAATTCATTTGTTGTTTTGGCCAACAGTTGCGCCCCTCATCTGCAAGAAAGTGGAAATTAATACTTTATTGGTGAAATAGAAAAATGGTTAGCCTGCTTACATCGACAACCATTGTGCAATTGTTTCTATCCCACCCAGCTAGAGCTCCCATGAATTTTCCTCTTTGACCGGGCTTCAGTAACAACGAAACACCTTCACCACATTGGCTTTTGTTCACAACATACTTGACCGTAATGACTTTGTCTCCAAATGCCTAAGGAAAGAAACAAATGTTAAGCCATGTGGAATGAATCACTTGAGAAAATGATCACAATATGTGACAAACTAACAGTGCGGATTCCAACGTCATGTTTGACAAATAAGTCCAAGAAGCCCCCTTGACGGTCGATTTTGGCAACAATGGTACCAACTCCGGTTATGTTGATAGTTTCCCTGGTGATTGATTGACCATTTACTTGAGGACATTCAAGCTCATGGCATTGCAGGAAAGGCATTTCATGACGAGTACATCCAACCACGGCTCCTTGTGACCAATAAACCCTGCCACGTGTCATTTTGGGGATGGTAGAAGTCTTGTAGACCAGTCGGAGGTCTCGATGATCATCAGAACCAAGATGCAAACAGCCAGGTGGAATTGACGACTGAGTCATCAACTGTTCACCATTGCGCTCATCCAAGCAAGAAACATCGGACTAATCAAAAGTTAGCCACCAATTCAAAATGCAGACATATTCAATTTACTTACTGTATGAGATGCTTTAAAGAAACCTTCAAAGTGCAACAAATCGCTGTATCCTCCCTCGATTATATTGGTAATGAATTTAAACATTGTAATGTTGTGTAAGTTAACTGATCAAGCTGGAGAGGTCTAAGGATGGGCTCTGCCACTCCTCAGCAGCCCACTTATATTTCATCGTTCAGTTGGGCCATTGGTTGGTGGACTACCCCCTCAAGGCAGGACACCCTCACAGCCACCCTTTTGGGTCTGCCCAATGTGAAAACATGGGCCAAGGGTTCAGGCTGATACAATAGCCACCGGAACAACAGGGGTTGTTCCGGAAAGAACAGAACAAAAATATAAAGTGTAGGAAAAATGTATTCTTGAGTGTTTTTGGGTGAGATGGGTTGGTAGAATCAGATTGTCAGGGGATCTTTACCTTTTTTGTGGACAAGAATAAGCTTGCCACTTGGTCAAAGGACTCCTTTTCTTCTGTGATTCTGCCCACTGAGGGTTTTTGGCCTCGGCGAGTTGTGTATCCTGCAGGCGCACCTTCACCGGCTAGATCAAACTTGAGCGGAATGATTTTTGCCCTTTCTCCATTGCGGCCAAAACAAAGCAGGGCGTCCAACGAAAGAATTTTCCGCTTGACTCTCCCTAGCTTCTAATGGCGAAAAGACTTCCACTTTGGCTCTGTGGCTGTAAAACCACCAATAGTTAATTGAAGTAAAATCTATGGAGATTTCCAAATAATGACATTCATAAAAATAATATACGCGCGAATCCCCCTACCTTGCAAAATCCTATGGTCGTTAACATAGTATTATAGCCATCATGTAGTGTTAACTAAGGCAAAGGCTGTTGCCGTGCGAGCCGATGGCAGTAAGCTGTTCTTAAGGGGGGGGTCGTTGCCGGGTCGAAGGCTATATAGCCTGGCAATCAGTCACAACCACAGGACGTTCTGTTTACCAGCGCAAAACACATACCATTGGAGTTAGCTGCCCGTACATATCCAGGTATCACTAGTTCGGAAAGATCCTGAGGTAGGGTATTCCAGTTTGATCACCTTCTAGTTAGTTTGGAAGATGTATTTAGTTTTACTGGATCTAACCTTGAATATATCATGGATCTTAATTAAACATGTAAGATGTGCAAGATTGTGCTCATGCTTTCTTCGTGCCATTTGCTCAAGGCGCGTTTAGGAGAGGGTGGATCTATGGCTAGTTTGAAATTCTGACTTACAAAGATTGTATTCTCCACTAGGTTGTCCCAAGCTCGCGCAGTGTCCCGCTGGAAAAAACTCATTGAAGCATTCTTGAAGAAGCGTTGTAGTAGTGGTTAAGCAGGAGGGGATTGTGCTCTGGGCTGATGAGACATGCAAGTAGTTTTTTTTTTTTGCCGCCGAGAGTTTCCCCATCTTCCGCCTGCTCGGTGTTCATCAAAGCAAATTGATTAAACGTTTTTTCTGAGAGCAAATTTACATACCATAGCCGTGCGCTCTCAAGCTCAAAAGCTCTCCCCAGTTTTTCCTTTAGTTCTTTTTCTTCAACACAAGACTAAGAAGCAGGGTTATCGAATTTCACACCCAGAATAGATGAAAGGTTTGTGGGCATAGGTTTTGAAGTGGTGAACAACTTTTTATTCCAAATCCAAGTGATGAAAAAAAGACGATCAACGGTACAAAGGATGTGAAATAGCATTGAGTCCATACAGCAGCACATACAAATATGGTAGGGTCATTTCATGATTGTAACAAAATCATTTTGTATCTAGTGTTGAATCCTTTCAAGTCGGAGGGGTTTTGCAACAATCTTCTTTTGTAGTCAGCCTTGTCGAAAATGATAATGAAGAGCTGGACCAGCGCAGGAGCTCCATCTCATCCTTTTAGAATTGAGGCCTTGTGAACTGAGTACACCCTAGTAAGGCTCAGACATCTAGGAGTCAGCCAAAGACACCCGTCGCGACGCGGGAAAGAAATACTGACAATGGCTAATATGCGCCCACCGGTTTGGCACCAACACAGCCGGATCACACAACAGCAATCATCCACATTTTCATTCCCTCCATTCATTCTCGTTCCATTTTCTCCATGCTACCCTCTGTGCGCTGCTCCCACCGATACGATAAATGTTCCTTGAGGCTTGATCTATGTATAAGATTTTGCTAACTCCTGGGAAAACGAAGGGGAGATTAAAGATTTTCAACTGTTCGGCTGGTTCACAATCCGGCCCCGCGTCGATGCCCTTGGGACGAAAACGAGACGGAGGCCCACAGCCAAGGCTCCAAACATTGGCGAACGTTCCTTTGAGCACCCCAGCGCCGTCTGTCGCTAATGTATGACTCAAATCAAAAGTCAAAAATACTGAGCTTCAAGGAACACCGCCCAAGAGCAAAATCCAGTCAGCTGGTGATAGCCCCCCCTGTGTGAAGCATTGAATAAATTCTTACGATATTTGGTTATAAGCGCTTTTGAAAGAGAGTTAATTTGGCGTCTTAGGGTAGGTAAACGTTTCGATTGCAGCTGATCTAAGAGCTACCTCCTGATATCGACTTGGTTAAATATGACGAGTGGGTTGGGGGGATTGACGATCTGGTACCACAAGGCGAAGTATGTGTCATGAATACGTTCCAACTCTTCTGTGACCAAAACTAGATCAGAAGCGATCGGGAGAAAAAAAAAAGAATCGGTCAGTTATCACTACTTTCTTGCCAGCTTTTAACTGATATGGACGAATGGAAGATCGATCAAGTCCATATCACATACCCTTATAGGGTCGGATCTGCTGAGGCCTTGTGTCGTCGTTTCCGAGTGAGCTGAATGAGTCGATCAACCCGGATAGCCCGCTCTCTTGTGAGGCACCATTTAGTAGGGTTTCCGTTTGGAATCTGATCCATGGATCTCTCAGCATTCGCAAGAGCTGTGTTGAGACATAGGGACATGGATGGAAAAGGTGTGCTTGTATTCAACCAGTTCAGCTCCGATGAATTGACTAGTACATAGCCTGAAAGAGATTCTCAACATCAGAAACCCTTATTTGTCAACAGTGCAGCGGGATCAAGCCAAACAAGTATACCAAAAATTTTCCACTACAAAGATTTCACCAAAGCGCCAATTGAAGCAATCACAAATCCAAAAAGATTACATGCAAGCGTTAGCCATCTGGTTTTAAATCTCAACGAGGGGAGGATGGTCGCCGCCACTTTGCTTTGAGGCTTGTCCTGGGGGTCTGCCGATCTGGATGGGGTTGCCGGAATGCTGGGCAATGACTTCAATCCGCACAGCGTGTCTAAAAGTCGCACATGGATCGTATCGATCCGGAAAGTGCGGGGGCCCGGACAAATTCAGATAGCGAAGCCCAATTCTTGTAGAGGATCGTCCAGAACAGCCATATCACCAAGCTTCCTTCCGGTTCGCCGTCCCAGTAGTCTTCTTCCACTGGCTGTATAGCATCCGAGTCCGATTGGGGTCCGATTGCGAGCAGCGGGTTGACTCATCAATCCGGCTATGACTCATAGTAGGGGCTTGAGTGCAAGAGTCCAGTCAGGCGGCCGTTTCGAGCTCGTAGGAAGATTTGCTGAATGGGAACTCGGGCACGACTGTTTTTTGATTTCAACTCAAGCAATCTCAGTTGAGAAGCTAATGGCGTAATTGACTGCCTCGCCCCAGACGACAATGTTTCCGAACGCAAGCCTCGACTAGACAGCGCCGTTTGACAATTGGTAGGTCACGAGAACCTCTCTTTCCTCGGCGATTCGATATCCGAGCACTGTCAGTAGCTCATCAAGTTCTGTCTGATTCCTGAGTGTCTTGCTGGCTAAATCGGCCAGTAAGCTTGAGCGTACTTGGCTGATCCATGATTGATGGCCATCGTAGAGTTGGTCAATGAAGCCGCACAGTTTTTTTTTGGGGGGAGGGGGGAGAAGTTCATTCAGAGAGAACAATTTCAGATTGGGATAATTGGAATAACGTAAAAGTGATAGCACGAGCCGATTTGCGAAAAACAAAGGGTGGTTTTTCACCCGGAAGAGGGAGCGCGTACAACATGAGCAGGACGAGAGGGAAATACATGTGAGATCTTTCTAGACGAGGCGGCGACCGAAACGGCTTCGGCGGGCTTTGTGGCAGTTTCGAGAGCTTTGTCTTTGATCTCGGTTGATACTGTAGGCTCTGCTTTTCCAGCTTCAGGATGGGTGGCTTTAGCATTGGATCTAATGATCAGAATAAGAAACTCAAGTCAGTAAACCGGAATCGTAGATTGAAAGATGGACGATCTCCAAAACTTACTTTTCGTGATTGGCCGTTTCAGTCTGGCAACGAAGAGAGGAAATCGGTCAGCGGGAAGTGTTCATGATTGTTGTATGTAGCTGATAAGCACCTGGTCTAATCCATCGTGATAGTCAAACCCCTGAGGAACCCAAGCAGGTCACTAAAAATAAAAATGGGAAAAGATCAAACTGTGGTCAGTCTCATGAAACAATACTTAATACTTGGTGAGAGCAGATGAGGATGGGTGATTGCCTACGTACATACATACATACTCGATCAAGACCAGACCGAGATGAACGTCAAACATTGTCATACATAAATAGGACCCAGTCGGGGGGGTGAACCCCGGTCCGGACTTGCAACCAGATGTGAACACATCTCGCCTCTTTCTAGTATCTACACACAATCACCCCCTGTCGATAATCATTCTCCCTACGCGCTCGGACTATAAGTAAGGATCATCTCATCTCATGTCCTGATTCACATCATGAACTAACCCACATTATCGAATTGCAGACACATCTTCGTCAACCAGTCAGTTATGTTTGCAAGCCCGACTGGCCTCTTCAACTTAACTAACGACAAATCACACTTACAGTTGCTCCTCTCACTATTTGCCTAGTTATCAAACTCTAGTACGACTGTTGATCGCCAAGGCACAATCATCTGTTCACATACAAACCCTCTCTAACGTTTTGGTAGGTCACTCTAATGCCATTTCGACCAAAGACCAACTGACCTGTTCAAGATTACTGATTGGTTTCTTTGTATCCTTTATGATCAATTCACCAGAAACACTATTCCACGTTGGTCAAATAACACGTCACGGATTGTGCTGGTGACCCTGTTTGCTTTTATAGATTCAATCAACAAGGGAATCAAGTGGTAAGTTTCTTTCATCAAAGCACTGTTACCAAGATCAACATTTTCGGTTAACACACTATCTCACTTGGACAAATTTTTTTCCTGATCTGTATCTTGAGGACCACCAATTAGATACTTCCTCCATCAGTTCTCGTCGTTGGGGGAACATATAGTATTCCACTTATCCATACATTTGAACTGTGAGTCTCACTGGTCTCTGCCAGTCATTGGTTTTTGTTGTCCGTATGTCTTACATGATTTAACTCAACTGAAGCGAAGCCCGATTTGCTTACCATATTCATCTAAACACACTTTAACCTAGCACTCCAAACACCCCCAGGCCACCCAGATCACTCGGGCAAATCGATTCCATTGATTCGATGGCCCTTATCAATGTTAATACCGATGATGGAGACTCCAAAGGAGATCATCTTAAGGTTTGTGGGGAGTATCCCACAGATCTTGGTGAATTTCCCAAGGGCCCACCTGAATCAAAATTAACCCGGAAGCAGAAACGGAACCGCAACCGGAACAAGGGAAAGGAAAGCCGACATCTTCAAGACCTCAAAAATCACGCGGACCTGTCGAAATTCTCGGTCCATTGTCTACGCTATAACCAACCTATGCGGCTTGTCCAGACCAATGAAATCATAACGAAAAGCAAACGGATTGGAGGGATCGTCCGCTTCACCAAGTTCTGCGACCTCAGTCCACACCTCCGTGACCAATTCGAAGCGTTAAGTCAACATCTTGTTGAGCAATCTCGATACCTTTGGCCCAATGCCAATAACGGGAATAAGCTTGGTGGAACAATGTTCAATGCGGGTTGGCGTAAGGCTTACACGCATAATGAAATCCTGGGGATATCTGCTGCAGTGCCAAAGATAGCTGGCCATGAAGAACGCTACCTGGAACTTCAAGACGAAATGAAACCAATGGAAGCCTTCCTTTCAACCCGCTTTGCTCACTTGTCACAGCTGCTCTATGACACGTTACGAATTCAACATAAGGATCTCGAACTCCCATCAATCTCCTCATCCTCCTTTTCCGAACTGAACGACTTCTCTTTCGCCTCTCACCTCAGTTTCACACTCAACAACTTCCACAATAAACCACATTGCGATAATGATTCTTCAACATATTCCTTTGGCTTATGGCTCCCAATCGATTCCCGAGATGGACGCTTGGTAATGGAGGATTTCCATGTCCAAGGGGGTAATTTTGTGTTTCCTGATAATAACTTTGGCATAAATTTTGAGGGGTTTGATGGAATTGTTGAAATGGTTTGGAAGGCTGATAAGTTTAGCCATCAAACTGAACCATCCACCTCTCACTCTTATCACAGTCGTCTGGGACTATCTTGTGAAATCCCCTCAACCTCCCTTCAAACCATCGTCAGGTTACAACAGAAGCATTATGAAAAAAATCCTGAAGCTTTCTTCCGTGATACAAACCACATTATTCATAGTTGTCAAACTTGGAAAGAAAACCAACTCAACAAAGCACCCAAAAATAAACAAAAAGTCCACACTGAAAAATAAATTCAAACAATCTCCTTCCCTCCCACAAAATTATGCACGGTTATCACACCCTATTTTTCACTTTCTACATGGTTATTAAATGTTATGTTTCATTTTTGCACCTTTTTCCAAGAAATACATGCTCCAATCTTCTACATGAGAATAATATCAATTTATTCACTTTGCTTTCCCCCATTCTTTGATCAAAGAACACATGCAGATGCTTTATGTCATCAGCTTTTTTATTTGTCAAATTTCATTTGCAGATGCTTTATGTCATCAGATTTTTTCTTTGTCAAATTCCATTTCTTTCTTTTTCCATCAATATATACACATGACAACACAAATCATAGCTGAAAATGATTATCAATTCTCATTTGCTCTCTGGCCAATTTATACAAGGAATTTTGTGTTTAATTGTCTCAGATTTATATTTCCATGTGATTTAAATCACTTGGACCTCATTCACCTTCCTTGAATCTTTTCTAGAATTTGCTGTCAGAATCTAACTCTTCATATCATGATGCACTTGCTCCCATTCCCATCAGAGAGTTCCTGAACAGGAGCAGGTTTGTGGACCAGCTGATTAACTCCTATGCCATAAATTACCTGTTGTCTAACCCTTCAAACCATTACTTGGTTAACATCACACCTTTACCATCCTGACCCTAATGATGGATTTTGCCAGGTTTTTCCAAAGATTGTCCAGTTTTACAATAAACTCCATAAATTAAATGAAAGAATCCCAAAGGACAGGAATGCCTATACGAAGAATCAAGGACAAGAAACATCAGGGAAACCATCAAGCACGCATGGTTGTCATTCAATTTGTTTACTCTGATTCTAATTTGACTTCCATAGATCTGATTTTTGTTCTGACTTTTTCTGAACAAAAATCACAGATTATCCAATATAATTTTTCTTGATGAACCAAACAATGAATCCAAGCTTTGAGAAAATCCCTTATAGTCTTATCTCTCTGAAATCCAATTAACATTGACAGCATTGGTTGGTAAATTTTTCAATGGGGGTGTCTGATTCTTTACAACTGAGTTTTATATGCACAGCCAAATCATTGAGTGCTTCAGAACTCATATACACCTGAACCAACTTCCTTGGTCATATGGTGGTATTCATTTTGGGCATAGGAATGTATATTAATGTATCTGTTTCTCATTACCATGATTGGTGTTCTCAGAAGGCTGGTTTGAAGGCAACATGATTAATTCCTGCAGCCAGTCTTTTTGCATAGGTTTTCTGGTTTTCATTAAACTTGAAGGGAGTTACTAAGTTGATTGGATGTTGGTGACAAGTATTTGGTTTTTTTTCAGATGCAGTGAGTGTGTGTACATTTTATGCAAATTAAATGAAGGTGGATAATTTTATGAATCAGTGAAATGAGATTTTTGACACCTATTTGACAATGTTTTACACCTATCTACAATTTTTTACACCTATCTACAAGCATATGATCACAAGTTTGGAAGAGTTACAAAAATTCATCATCATCATCCATACCCTCTTCAGCTTCCTCTTGGACTGCCTCCTCCTCATCATCAGATGAGTCAGAGAAAAAATGTGGAGGGAAATATAATTGTAGCCTAGGCAGCATAGAATCAAAGACATTCCAAACCCTACCAATCTCCAAGTTTTGAAAATTGTATCCCAATTCAGTGAATATGCGGAAAGCTATATTATGAAAAAATGCTGGGGTGTGTGTGAACAGATGGTCAAGATTTGGGTAGTGTTTTTCCAGAAGCTCATCAACTCTTGATGGGGGGATGGGGACCAGTTGGTCTGTTGTGTTGAAATGTGCCGGGTTTGAATAAGAAAAAATGGGTTGAACACCTGTGGGCAATGAGGTCCTGTTATCACGCCTTTTCCTGTATGCATTGTGAGTTGTCACCCAGCTGTCTGCACTTGATTGAAACACCGGAATCCATAGAAAGAGAAAGAGTAGTCTGACCCAAAATATGGTCAGTTGATGAATGGAATACTTTGAGGGTGAAGATAGCTTACTTTTGCAATGGGTCACTCTCATCATACCAATCATTTTCCATGTATGTTAGAATGTTGTGGATGATGGGCTTGTTGTGCTCTGTCATCATTCTGGACCACAAGGATTCGATTTTCTGATTATGAACTGATTTGGTGTGATGCATGTGCTTTCGTGCTTCTTCAACAGTTATATTTTCTATAAATTCATGAGAAAGTCGGATCTGGAAGCTGCCCATTTTTCCTGTCTCCGTCCCCCTGTCCGTGGTGAGTTTCCATGGAATTCCACCAATAGACCTAACCAGGTGTAGAAAGTATGCGCCAATGTGCCTTGGATCATTATTTGTGACGTGTACAAATATACCCAAAATCTTTCTGGACCAGGCATCAATGAAGCCATATACCGTGATCCCAAATCTTTTTAACTTGTCGTGACCATCAGCTGACCAGATGTGATTTGGACCTGTGGTGCGGAATACTCTCCTTTGGCAAGTCTTTTTTAGCCGCAGTTGCATTCCTTCAGGGTCGACCTCTCTCAGGATATCATAAACAACCTGCCTTGGGAGGGACGGGAAATTTCAGTTTAAATGTAAGAAAGAAAAAATTCAAAATCATCAATCAAGCATACCTTGGTAGACGGAGCCCATAATTTGTGACCAAGATCTGCCGCATTCTTCTGTAGCCTGCTGTGTTTGCTAGTAATGCATCACGAGCATGTCTGACCAGTTCAACCACTTCTTCTCGAGTTGTTTTTCCATTCGCCAGGTCATTTTGGCGTTGTTTCAAGTTCAAGCGCCTCAAATATCTCTCAACAGTGCGCTGAGAGACATTCAACCCTAATTCTCTGGAGAGTTGGGAGCGCATTTCAGCTACTGTCAAGCCATTTTGATGGGCAGATATCAGGCTTGCCCGAATTGGGGGGAGTAAATCGGGGGGATTTTCGGCAGGTGGAAGGTCACTGAGGCGGAGGCCCCAAGATTGGCGAAGGCGACTAAGTGTGCGTAAGGAAATGGACCAGCCATATTCTCCCTCAAGTATCAACAGGATATCTGGACCCTTGAATCCCTCAAGGAGGAGGGAGGTAAGGATGTCGCGCTTTTGAGCGTCTGAAAGGGGTGATGGGCCCGGGGTAACTGCTGTGATTGGCGATGGGGGGTCATCAGGGCCAGTGTGTTCACTATATTCGGACGTTGTGATATCTTGATTCATGACTTTGAGGTGCAAGCGGTTATTTTTTGGGTTATGCAGACAGAGGTTGGAGGATTCGGGTTACAAGGAGTCTGAGCTTGTACCAAGGTAGACAGGGATGATGAGTACGGCTAGTGGGAAGGCAATCCAGAGGATAAATCTGGATATACTATGAATTTATTACTAGAGAATTTAAAACCAGAGCCTATAGAGAAAACAATCAGACACTAGGAAACAACAATGATTAAGTATAAGAAGAATTTAATTGAAGCATACCCGATGAGTTAAGATAGACTCTGACAGACAACTAAAAATAGGAAGAGACAGGACAAGCAGACAGGACTGAAACAAAGGAACATTAGTGAGTTGAGTGTCAAACAAGTCAAGTAATGACCAGATTGAGTGCTTTGTTGTGTGATTCTCACCAAGTTGAAAAGCAGAACCAGACGTCCGGTGATTGAGCTTCTTGCAAGTTGATGGTTGATAGAGGAGCTTTTTCAATACTTTATGTAAGAGATTGAGTGAGTCTTTAGAGTGAGGCAGTGCGATGGTCAGAGTGATTGGAATGCCTGAGAAGACTGCCGATTAATTAAGTCGAGATTGGTCCTTCTTTTATACTCGAGATTTGACAGGTCGATTAGGTTTGAATTAATGATGATTAAGATTTGAGATATGAGATTCGGAAATGGGTGGCGCAGTTGGTCGTGCTTCCTTGCTTCCCTAAGAGTTTCTCCAATTTGTATTCGTGACACGTTGAGTTTCAACAAGGAATGGGATGGCGTAGAAGGTGGTGATGATGGATATGAGTTGAGAGGCGAAGAGGAGTAGGGTGAGTGGGATGAGTTTTGCTGGTGAATGATCGAGTAGTTGTTCTGGGGATGGTTTGGTTGTGATTTGTTGGTTGGTGATGAGTTTCTGCTGTTGCTTGTTGAGTAGTCTTCTGAGGAAGTGAGTGAATGAGGAGTGGTTTTCCTGCTGTTGGTGGTTATTTGATGAGCTGGTTGATTGAGTGATAGATTGGATGGTGGATGATGAGAAGTTGTGAGATGGTGATGGGATGGGTTGATGTTGTTGGTGTCGGTGTTGTTGTTGTTGGTTGTTCCTAGTTGTTGGTGAAGCTGATAGTTGGTACGAGAGTACCTCCTCTGATGTAGACCTCAAGCCGCATCAATCATGATGCGGTAAAAAATCGAATGGGCCAGTGTGGGCTTGGCCCATCACCAATTTGTTTTGGCCTTGCCCGGCCCAAGTCATCGGGGGTTTGGAATAAATGCCCAGGTCGGGCTGTAACTCGTACAGAAGAATCAAAGATGCCAGGTTGGGAAGTGCAACTGGCATCTTCGAATACAAAAGTCAAAACACGAAGGCAAAAACTGCCTGTAAGGTCAAAAAGCCCTGGCGCGATTGGTGTCGGTCCAGGGCTTCCGTAGAAAGCCGAAGATAGAGCGGTTGTTGTAGCGACCTGCGAACGGGACTCTTGTAATCCTTTTTGATATCCTATGTATAGGGTGATCATCTTCTGGAGCTCCTATGGGGGGTGATCGGCTGGTTAGGGCGAGCCGATTACAACGAGCCAGACCGTTTTAAACTCGGCGAGTGTGATCCCGTTCTTGCGGATCGATTCGGGCGGTCGACAAGAGTCCAGCATGTCTTGTTCGAACCATCTCCAAGGATCCTTCCGAAACCTTCTTCGGATCCACGCCTAACGCATTCAAGACCGTACAGAGAGCGTGGCCAGACCACAAAACGAAGGTTCATGCTGAGTCACAAAGTTGAGAGGCCAGCGGAAAGAAAGAGTCGAGATATTGGCCGTCGGCCAGGGATGAACGAAACAGAGCTTTCCCTCGGTCTGATGTACAACTCTCCGGCAGTTGGCGCTGGTAGAACGAATGAGCAGGGTTGGATTTTTCAGCTGCTAGTTTGATTGATTGATCCTCCGACATCGGACTTGAGTGTGCCTGGCTATGTAGATGGGTAATTGTTCAGTGATTGCGGTTTGTCAGTTTTGGTGATACTAGATATCCTTTGCGAACCTGAGATTCGGTCGATCGGTTGGGAGAATAAAGAACTGCTTTGCTTGCAGGCCCAGAGGTTCGTTGTGGTTCTCGGATGAGGACTGATGATGTAAAAAGATGAAAACAACCAACAAAGAACATCACCAACAAGAAGAAATACCGGACAGACTGGCAAAACTAGCATACAACAAGAGAACAAGAACAACAACAACAACAACAACTACTAACCAAAAACCGACTAACACTACTTATAACACTACTACTACTACTACTACTATCCACCATCCAACCAACAACCATGAACAACAAGAACTACCCAGAGCAAAACGAGCACGACTAGAACTAGAACAGATCAAATCACTCACTAACAAACTCAAACAACACAAACACAAAATCAAACAACAACCCAAACAGCAACAACAACAACAACCCAAACAACCACTCAAACAGCAACCCAAACAGCAACAACAACCTAAAAACACCTCCATACCAAACCGACACAAGAAGATCAAGAACCAGAAACTCATATACCTCAGAAGGAACCGGCTAACCATCCAACAACATCAACTCACCCAACAAGAACCATCCATCAAACTAAGGCCACACCAGATCCACATCCAACTAACATCACTACACCCATGCTGTCAAACTCAAATCAACAGCCACGACCTCGATCTACTCGAGAACGAACTGTCGATCATCCAGCTCAACTATCAGCTCCTCTTCCTCTCCCGATATGACTCCATCACTCATCAGCTCGCACTCAGACTCAACAAATGGAATCCTTACAATCACTTCCTCCGGGCCAAGTTTTGCACCCAATTTCATCTCCCCCCTTCTGATCATCATTCGTCAGTTATTTCTCTCTCTCTGATTAATATTCATTCATTCTGACAATCCCTTATTTCTTTCTAGCCCGATCGATACTCATCATCTGATCCAGATCACCGTCTGGCATCGCGCCTGTCTCCGAACAAAATTAAACAAACTCATCCAACAACAACAACAACAACAACCATCACCATCGCCATCATCATCATCAAGAATCCATCAAGATCCCTTTGATCTTGCTTCTAACCCGATCATCCAACGGATTAACAATCAGAGACAAGCCTTAGACCAGCTCTTTGGCCATCAACACCAACACAAACTCATTCAGGTCGACCAAACTCTCAGAACCCGGCTCAGGAACCAGGCCAGATGTGTGAAAGTGCCCCCGCGAATAGGCGCACTGCATTTCAATGTTCAGTCTTTCTTCCTTTTGGATTGTCGCGATGTGTATATACTGACTGACGTCTGGAGTGTGGTTTTTTTTTGGTAGACTATGGAGCCTTATCAGGCCGGACAGTTGGTGTACGATTCGGAAGACGAGTTGCCGGATCTTGAGCATCATTCGTGGAGGAAATTCAGATCAGAACTCGTAGGTTTCTTGTTCTTCTTCTTGTTGTTTATGAGTAACAAAGCACTAAGCTAAGCTCTTAATGGATCTCTTTAGTCCTGTGAGCGATCAACACAACTCTCGATCATCAAGAAATTCCACACGAAGGATGAAGAAGGAGGGGAGGAGAGCAGGGTAAGTGAGAGGATGAAAGAAGAGAGTGGGAGACTATGGAACCAATACATCCGGAGCATCTGTGGCGATCCGACGAGCACGGCGAGTGTGCGATTGGACGAGCAGGATTACGTGGGTTTTGTGGAGCTCTATGGGGCCCGATTCGGCCGGGCGACGGCCCCCACCCGTCGCGCATTGTCCGCCCTCCTCACCCATCTCTTCGACCATGACCTCCCTCTCTCTTCCCGGATCATCAACCAACGCGTTCGTTCCTTTCGTGGGACCCGCAATCCCCGTAACACTCATGCAGGCCCGTCGGCCAGTCCTGAGATCATCTCCTCCGTCAAGAATGCATTCATCCATTCGCTCCTCACTCATTTCGATCGCTTCGTTCCTCCTCCTTAATCATCCCCCTCGAATCGTGTGGATGTATATCTCTGTTTTGCTTTTGTTTGTTTGTTTGGAAAGTGTTCATACATTAACAGTTGATCCAAAAAAAAAAAAAAAAAAACTCCAACTGTTGATTTGTTCAAAGGATTGTTACACCTAATCATCATTCATCATAGCCTCGATTTGCTTTGTCTAGATTATTCTTGATCTTCTGTTCAAACCTCAACTATCATTCATCCCAGACCACAATGTGTACATACGTCACACGAGTAAAAGCCATGAGACCCAAGCGATGTGCATATAGATAATACTTGGCCCCGAGGGAGCGGGGCATGGGGGGATGAGAGTCCTTGGACACAGTGTCCGGCCGGAGACCCTGGGTCATACCCACAGCGCATGTCCAAAAAAACAGTAGGATGTTGTCAACAAAGTGTGCAGGCTCCCGTTCCGTCGGCTCGGCTGGCTAACAACATGCCAGGCCCGAAGGCCTCCTTTTATTACACTTACACTCTATCCCTGTCTTCCCCCCCTCCCCCGAAAGAAATACACGTCTTTTTTGTTGGGGTCTTGTCGTGCCGGAGAAATCACACAGGTTCCTTTAATGTGTCAACTGGCTCAGAAAACTGAACTCATGTTGGAGGCTATAAAGATGAGCGGTTTTAGCTGGAATAGCTCTTTTTTAGTCGGCCGGTTTAGGACTGATGCAAGCAGCAATGGGTCTATACTATACTTTACTATAACTGGCCCTTCTCAGTATAGTAAAGTTTCTTCAAATTTCTGTTTACTATACCAATACTATAACCAGTGTGTTTCCCACCAAGCTTGGTATAGTATAGGCCACTTTTTGTGGCTCCAAAATTGCAATATATTGTAAGGGCCTTAGCTTTATCAGCCATGAAGTGAACTCCAGAGAGCCCTTCTGTGGTCAAGAGACTCTCATAAGTAGCCGCAGATGTTTTTATCAGCATCTAGGGTAGTTTATAGTAGAGTAAATCACCCAAAAGAATTTCCTGTTCTCCTCAGTTATAGTAAAGGGCCCTGAAAATCAGACTATAACCACACCCTTTATAGTAAATTTGGAAATATATATACTATACCAATACTATACCAATAACTGTAAAGTATAGACCCAGTGTTGAATTGCAAGTCGGAAAAAACAAAACTAAAAACTAAAAAAAGAAACACAAGTGCAAGTGCAAGGAAAAAAAAATGAGGTATTTCTGCGGCCTTCATGTCCAAAGTGGAATGGTGTCAAGGGACAAGATGGGTTGGTTGGTTGGTGTGGTACACTACAGGTAGGAATCAGGATGATTGAATGTTGACTCAAGAAGACCGCTCAGGAGACAAGAAGATTTCTGGTTGTTGGTCCACAGATGAAGGCTGGTGGGAACCGTATGGCCATTGTCTGATGCTCTGAACACCTTTATTGGCTCCTCACTTTTTGCTGGCACATCAACAATAGGCCAGTTCACGTCTGGAGTTCAAGGCCAATTTTAACACACTTGAAGATAAAATTTTATGAATTTTGTGAAATTTCATGAAACATCAAGTTCAGAGGAATTTGAGATTTCTGATAAATTTGTAAAATTTTAATGATAAATGTCACTAAATTTGCCTCAAAGTTCAGACGTGAACCATCCTAATAGGGCAGTTCACGTTGCACCAAATTCTTTGCTGGTCTTGAACAAGGTTTGTTTGCTGATGCACAAACTTCATGAACCTTAATTGTGGGATTTCGACTCCAAAGGGGAGCCTCCCACTAAACTCTTTTGCTTTCCCATAAACCTTAAAACAGCTAGTCTAGGCGCTGATGGTCAACATCAGCAGTACGTTGTGGTAACCCATACCTTTCCATTTCATCTATTATTTTACTGTACATTCACTGGGAATTATTATATTATTACTGCTTATTCAGATTCTACACCCTTTTTTACCTATAGTCACTCACTCAAGCCATATCTCATTTCTTACTGGTTCATTAGTTACATGCAGTTCTAGTTTTACAGATATTATTCTTTACATTTACTTTGAACATTAACTACATACAGCACATATTTACAGTTTACTACATACATCATAATTTTCACAAGTACTGTCTTCTTACATATAAGTCTTCTCATTACATCAGCCACACACCTTCACAAGTATCTCATTTCACATTACATACTACATATATTTTCTCAGACACACTCCTTACAATTATGCTTTCTCATATGCCTTTAGGATAACAGTAGTACACTCTTTCACAGTCTTTATCTTTTAGGATTGTTTTTCTTTACTCATCCTCCTTTTTGATTGTTTACTTTTCACATCCCTTGTGCTACATTTGTACATGGTGCTCCCATAGCCAGACTGACTGTAACCTGTGCTCATTTGTACCTTGAAGTATATATACAGTCTTCTTATCATTTTTGTACACCCCTTATGCACTTTCTCCCCTACAGATATTATTGTGCCCCTCAGATAAAATCTATTTTACTTTCAGAACTCACTTTAGTGACCTTGCCCTGTTTAGGTGCTTGCCCCAGAAATACCTTTACACACAGTGTCCTCAGAGCTCTGCTTTATTTCCAACCCTCATAGTCTCACTTCTTCCCCTGTAGGTGGTAAGGAACAAACTCATCAGTTATAGCAGCCTAAGAAATAGATAGAAATTAGCCACACCTCTTCCTTATTTTCTTAGTGTAACCCTCTCTCCTCAGCATTAGTCCCAGAGGGCAGCCTCATCAGCACTCATAGCTTAACTTACATTACTAGTAGTGTAGTTTGCTATTTCCCCTCTAAACTCTGTTTTGGTTGTTCAGCAGTTCCACAACGTGAACCCCCCTAATACCTACATGCTTGGAGAGGAAATCTGAGGATTTCCAGAAATGTACTGATCAGTAGTGTAGAAATGAGTTCACACTACATACATAGTGATCCCATCTCGAGACTTACATCAGAGAGGAAACTGAGCAGCCTTTCTGGTACAAAACCTAGGTTTTTCATACACTCTGAATGATCAGTCTAAATCCATGCAAAGCAACTCTGAAAAGATTGTTTGGAATTCGGAGCCCTTGGTTCTCTGTTCTGAATCTAGAGGCCCCTCCTCTAGCATCAACCAAAAGTTGTTGAATGTTTGGGTGAGAGATGTTAACAGATTATTTGTCTTGTGGGAGGAGTCAGAGGATGTGTTATTGAACGAAGCTGGAAAGTCTTTCTTTTTTTTAAAAAAAAAGATTGGTCCAGACTGTAGAAGTCTAGAATTTGAAAAAAGTCTCTCAGATGTAATTGTTTTGGGTAGTAGTAAAAAGGCCACTTTGAGTACTATTTGATTGAAGAGATTTGGGGACTGATTTGTGACAGCCAAAAAGGGGGGAGGGAAGTAGTCTATCAAAGAGAACAGGACAGCAGGACAGCTAAGACTCAGGAACAGCAGGCAGACAAACAAGAAATCAATGGATGATGAGGACCAGAAATGATTGAGGATGGTGTTGTGAGCAGCTTGAAAAGAAATCAATGGATGATGAGGACCAGAAATGATTGAGGATGGTGTTGTGAGCAGCTTGAATGGTTTTGTTCTGAATTTTCATCCATATGGTTTGTTTTAGTACTTCTAGCAGAAAAAAAAAAAACAACAACAACAAATGGTCATTGAGATCTCTCCAAAAAAAACTCATTCATGTGGTAGAGAACTTTGGAATGCAGATGATTGGTGAACTATGTACTTACAAGAGAGAGATTATTCTTCAGTTCAAATGCAATCATAGATCTTGAAGATCAAGCGGAGCACCGGGTTATCATTGTGTGTGGCTGCTTGATTTTCCCCAGGACTAGAGACAATCTTGGCATGGACTTTGGCACCCTTGCGGCATGGCTGGGCTTCAAGAGATGTGATGTGTCAGCCTAATTAGAGCCAGCCAAGCTGGCCAAAAGACTGCTTAAGTCCTCCTTTTCAGCTATGTTTGTACTATAACTTTTTTATCTCTTGATTTTATTACATTCTGACTTCAGAAATGAATTCCTCATGTGATTTTAACCTTAGTCACCACTACACACTTTTACACTACTCTTCTCCTTCATAGACTTTGTAATATTTCACCGTACCTTGTGAAATATCAACCAAGTTGGAATTCCAACTCTCTACCACATGTACATGTTGTGATTATGTAATCCAACTCTGAAAATTCTCTCAGAGGATACTGAGTTCGCATTTTCAGGATCTTCAAGCTTCAGACCCACCCAGAACCAACTCAGACCAGAAATCACCAACCTCAACTTGGATACTTCACCGCCACATCATCGCCGTGTTATCGTTTGGAGTCCCTTAACTATTGGAATCTTCCCACTCATTGTGTCAGGATCACCAATAAGTAAGTCACTCCACAAGTTCAGCTTGCATCTTTCTGCTAAGTTCCTTCTCTGTCTCTCTGAATGATCACATCATTCTGTTTCTACTAAACCTCTGCCTTAATCATCATCAAATCAAATCAAGTCATCATTATTCTCTGTTTGGTGGTATAACTGAAAACCACATAGGTTTCCCTTTAAAGAACCTTGATCATAGATCTAAAAAATTGAGGTTGGATTGACATATATTCAATACCAAGTGCCCTATTCAGTTTCAGTTGATAGGAGGCGTAGATTAATTCCGCTTAATAACAGCCATCCTTAAAGGAAAGTAAGACTGTAGTAAACCTTGATTATCAAACAAATAAACAATAAAAGATATTATTCATTTCTTTTCTCTTTCTTTCTCTCTCCCTTTCTCTTATTCTAGTTGTATTTCTTTATCCCCTTGAAATACATCTAGAATTGCCCCCCAATCCTTGTGTCCTGCTGTCACTTTTGAGACCCAGGCTCACATGATGAAACAGTTCCAAAAAAGAAGCCCAAGCGGGATGATAAGTCTCTTATGAGAAATAAACATCATCTTTTGAGGACTTGTTGTATAAAAATCAAATATATGGATTTGTGTAGTATTTGTTTATGTTGTTGTTTTTTATGAACTTCAGGTGGAGTCCTAATTGTATAGATTCAATCCAAGCTATAGTGTTATATGTTTCAAAAAACCCTCTCTGAAAAAAATTAAAATAGAGATTGAGATGTGATGTGATGTTGATTTAACAAACTGCCTCTCAGGGAACGGGTGATAGTGAAGTAACAATAATAATATTGGACTTTTAAAGACAGCTGTGGCTTGAATAATTCTTGAGGTACTTTGTAATATATGTATTTTCCTAATATTCTAACACAAACAGCA